TTTGTTTGTTTTGTTTTGTTTTTTGTTCTTGTTTTTGTTTTTTAAACTACATCAATCCTACTGATTCATGAACATCGGAGATCTTTCTATCATCTTCTGATATCTTCTTTAATTTCTTTCTCAGTGTCTTAAAGTTTTTTAAATTTTATTTTTTATCGTACTCCAAGATGCTTTTATATTATTTGAGGCTACTGTGAAAGTTGTTGTCTCTGTGATTTCTTTCTCAGGCTGTCCTTTGTAAGCACCTCACGGATCTGTCTCCAAAACTGTCAATATACTTGAATACAAGGTAAGTCTCAACAGATAAAAGACAACTAAAATCACTCCCTGCATCCTATCTGGCCACCATGGGTTAAAGCTACACACCATCATCATCATCATCACCATCACCATCACCATCACCATCACCATCACCATCACCATCACCATCACCATCACCATCACCATCACCATCATCATCAGAGAGCTTACAAACTGGAACTGAAAAACTCTCTACTGAACAAAAAACAGGTCAAGAAAGAAACTGAAGTCTTTCTAGAACGGAATGAAAATGAATCCACAGCAAATGCGAACTGATGGAACACGGTAGAGGCAGCTCTAAGAGACAAGTCCAAAGCACTAAGTATTTCTATAAAGAAGTTGGGGAGATCTCATGTTAGTAACTTAATAGCACACCTGAAAGCTCTAGAATCAAAAGGAGAAATCACACCCAAAAGGAGTAGATGGCAAAAAATAAAGTCAGGGCTGACATCAATAAAACAGAAACAACCACCACAAACACAATACAAAGAACAAGAAAAAACAAAGAAAATTAGTAAGATTCACAAACCCTTATTCAAAATAACCAAAAGGTGGGGAGAAAATATTTACGTTAAGAAAATTAGAGATGAAAAGGGGTCCGTAGCTACAGACATATAGAGGATCATAAGGACATAGTCTAAAAACTTACTGTGGTGATTGAATATGAACGTCCCCGTAAGCTCATATATTTGAATACTTCATCATCAGAGAGTGGCACTACTTGAGAAAGATTAGGAAGGTCTTTTTGAAGTAGGTGTGGCCTTGTTAGAGTAGGTGTGGCCTTGTTAGAGTAGGTGTGGCCTTGTTGGAAGAAGTGTCACTACTTGTAATCTCTAGTGAAATAGAAGCAGTAACTAAAGCCAGGAAGTAGTGGAGCTCACCTTTAACCCCAGCACTTGGGAGGCAAAGGCAGGCGGGTTTCTGAGTTTGAGGCCAGCCTGGTCTACAAAGTGAGTTCCAGGACAGCCAGGGCTACTCAGAGAAACCCTGTCTTGAAAAACCAAAAAACCAAAAAAAAAAAAAAAAGAAGCAGTAATTAAAAGGTTCACAACCACAACAACCACAACAACAAGCCTAGGGTTAGATGATTCTAACACAGAATCCTACCTGACTTTCAAAGAAGAGTTAATGACAATACTCCTCAAATTATTCCACAAATTAGAAACAGGAGGTCATTGGCAAATTTATTTTATGAAGCCACAATTACCCTGACACCCGAATCACATAAAGATCCAACAAAGAAAAAGAATTATGGACAAATTTCCCCCATGAGAACACTGATGTAAAATTTCTCAATAAAATACTTGCAAATCATATCCAAGAACACATCAAAAAGATCATCCACCGTGATTAAGTTGGCTTCATCCCAGAGATGCAGGGATGTTTCAACATACGTAAACCAATGAATGTGATCCACCATATAAAGAGACCGAAAGACAAAAACCACATGATCATCTCATTAGACGCAGAAAAGGCCTTTGACAAAATCCAATACCCCTTCATGATAAATCCCCTGGAGAGACAAGGGATACAAGGGGCAACTCAACATAGTAAAGGCAATTTAGAGCAAGCTCATAGCCAGCATCAATTTAAAAGAAGAGAAAAGCAAAGCAATTCTACTAAAATCAGGAGCAATTTTCTCTGTTCTCTTTATCCCTATTCAATAAAGTCCTTGCAGCCTTAGCTAGAGCAACAGGACCACTAAAGAAGATCAAGGGGATACAGACTGAAAAGGAAGAGTTCAAAGTATCTTTTTTTTTCTTTCAGGTGATAAAATATATATTCAATAGAATATATAAGTAACCCTAAAAATTTCACCAGGAAATTCCTACAGCTGGTAAACACTTTCGATAAAATAGCAGTGCACAAAAATTAACACACAAATCAGTAGCCCTCCAGTGTATAAAGGCTCATAGTGTTTTATCTCAGCCATAGAAGTTCCTAAGACAAAGCAAAGCGGGAAGATTCTGTCCACTGTTCAGGGGTGGACGTACTTGACTTGGATGAAGGGGCAAAGACACCGACCAGTCTTGGGGCTTCAAGCTGCCTATCCAGGCGCCCTTTCCAACTGCAAGGGAAGGCTGGTGGGTGATTAAGTCACTAGTCCGGGTGGCAGGCGGGCTGGGCTCCTGGGGTGTTTGCAGGGATCTGTCCTGGGCTTGCGCAAAGAGCAGATTGAGAAAGAGTTTGGTAATGAGAGCTGCTTGCAGGGAATCCAGCCGGCGCCGAGCCAGGTATATAACCGGTGGACTGCCTCACCCACACTAGTGCCTTCAGCTCCCTTCAATGTAGCAGCTTTTGTCAGGGCTCAGCGTGAGCCTCCATAGCCTCTGGGGCTACTAGTGAGTATGGAAGCTCGGCGCCCCCAGGAGCTGCAAAATCCGTCCCACTTTAAGAAACAGGTGCCGGCTGTGGGCTGTGGTCCTATCAATCACTTCCAACTCTCCTCCTCCTCCAAGGTCTCCTCCCCTCAAGGAGGGCCGCTTAAATGTTGATTTTAACTGCTCTGATCCAGGGATGATGCGTGCCTTCCGTGCACGAGTACTGTTATGGCTCAAATTTCCATCCCTAGTTCTTTTTCATACCCAGGTGCGTGACTGCTGCCCTCTAAGTACTGAGCTCCAATTGTGGGAAGTTTTGCTCATAACTTCCTTTGTGCTGCATATCAGCCCCCCTCCCCCTCCACCCCCCGCCCCCCGGTTTCTAAACACCCTTAGATTTACTCTCACAGCGAGTGTCTCCATATAGAACTGGGTTCAAAGAGGCTGAGCAACTTACTCAGCGTTGCACAGCTTGTAAGTATCAGAGCCAGGATGTGAACTCCAGAGCCTGTGAGCAATAAGCAACCCTGTTGTCAGACCATGCACAAAGGGCTCTGCTGGGAGCCATGGAGAAGCAGAAGGTAATGAGGCGTGGCACCTAACATAGTCCTGTATAATGAAGGCAGAGAAGAGGGAATTGTGAAGGTGAGACCATCAGTACTACTGAGCGGGTCTCCAGGGAGCCTGGGTGGCAATTGTGAGGGTTCAAAGGGCAAAGGTCAGCACCCTGAAAACCCGGGGACTGGTGAAGTGGATCCTTCAGAATGGGAAGAGCGTCAACTGAAGTTTCCACGTGGGATAGATCTGAACGGGAAACCTCATGATAGTTATGTGCCCCAGCCCTGATGCTTCTTACTAATATCGGTTCCTATAATCCATCCCATAGCCCCAGGCAACAGATAGTGCTATTATTTTTAATTTACCGAGGCTTGGAACAGAGGCCCAGAGAGGTCAGATAACTTGCCCAAGGCCACACAGCTGGTAAATAATGGAACCAAGAGTATACCCAAGGCTTCCAAGGGGCACTTAGAGTTAGATTGGAATGCTATACTTTTGGGAATAGCTGGTGACATAGTAGGTGTAGCACTGTCTCTGTGCAAGAGGCTGACAAACGTTATAGCAGGGATGTCAGGCCCGTGCCACCAGGCTGGGCTCTGGCTAATTGCTCTTTATTTATTCCTTAAAGCCACTCATCGATGCCTTCCTCATGATTAGACAAGGGTTGTTTTGAGGAGCCAAGGCGGAGTGGCAAAGAGGCATGCTTATTTTGAAGATGTAAATTCACTTTGTTAGTTTAGGTGAACTTGTCTCGCAGTTGACATTGCGTTCTTGCAAACTCATCTTTCTGAGAAGGGGTAAGAGGGCTCAATCCCCCAATACAAAACAAGATCACAGACATTTTCTGTTCTCATCTTGACTCTTTCTGTTGTGTTTTATAAAAAAGGAAAAGAAGGTCAGGGATATGTTTGGTGGAGGCTCAAATGGTGTGGGGGAAGGGGGTACCTCTGCAGGCCCATGCAGAGGCATCTCTTCTCTCTGAGGTACCAGCCATAGTATAGAATAGAGTATATTTAGGGCATGGGGAAGAGAGTCGAGGGAGTAGAGACAGAGAAAGATAGGGGGAGAGAGAGAGAGAGAGAGAGAGAGAGAGAGAGAGAGAGACAGAGAGAGAGAGAGAGAGAGAGAGAGAGAGAGAGAAAGGAGAAGGAGAAAGGAGGAGGAGAAGGGAGAAGGGGGGGGGGGAGGAGGAAAGGCCAGCCAAAAACACATAGGGGGGGGAATGGGGAGAGAAGGGACAGAGAGGGACAAGGGTAAGAGAGGAAGGGTAAGAAAGAGAGGAGGGGCTAAGCAGTCTCTTTTATAGTGAGTCAGGCACACCTGGCTGTTGCCAGGTAACTGTGGGGCGGAGCCTAGAAGGAATGCCAGCATTCTGCACCCTCAAACTAAAAACTCTACAGTTTCTAATGTTGGTAGTTCTCGAAGGGAGTGGAACCGATCCAGACATAGCCAGAAAGCAGTGTATATGGAGCCCACCCCAGATTTCCCCTTCCTGAGGCTGCCCCATCTTCTAGCGGAAATCTTAGGATCAGAAGAGAGGAGATGACTACTACAAAAATCTGCCCCATCTGGGACCTCCAGCCTGTCTCTCCTTCCTTCCTTATATGCTTGTTAAGTCTCTGATGCATTCTGGGAGAGCCAGGAATCTCATCTGAATAGAACTAGGCTTGGAAAGGAGAGGCTCATGTCACAAACCTAGAGAGAAAGGCTGGGATTTTGCAGCCCAGTGGGCGAGAGGTTTCTCATTAGTGCTACGTGTAGCACGTCCATCAGACACAACTGGGCAGAAGATGCCAATAAAATAAACAGAGCAGTCCCTACCTGTGAGGAGACAGTAAAGCAGCATTTAACCAGAGCCATCTTCCCAGGTACCATCAAATGCTAGGGGCAAGGAGTGGTGTTTCCCTTCCGGGTTCAGCCTGTGGGATAGTGGATGTTTTGCTTTGTATCCAGCTGGCTGAGGACCAAGCCCAGCTTAACCAGAGGCCAGGGTACAATGTACCAAGCCTAATTGTTAAATTCCTGACTTCCTTCTCATGGTGAGCTGAACTCTAGGAGTGGGCCAGACAATGCTTTGCAATGAGTTTCAGATCTCCAGCTGGAAGGTTCTGGCTACAGGGAAGGTTAATGGAAATCTCCTCTCTGAGAGCTTTGTAGAAGCTTCTGGACATCCCTTGCTGTGTCTTTCTCAACCTTCCTTCTGGAGCAGTACAAGATATGGATACAGCAATGACTAAGCGTTTCTATGTGCTAGAGCTGTCTAACACACTCTGCAGGAATAGCCACACTAAGTATGCAAGTTTTAAGCACAGAGCTTGGTTCATTCTTCGTCTACATGAGCAGCCATGTGCCCCATTAAAATAATATGCATAATGTTTTCCCAAGTTCCTTTGTGTCTAATCTAAGTGGTTACCTTCCCCTACCCTAAGGTAGTCACTCTTCTGATTTCTGACACCGAGATGCATTTTCTCACTTTAAAATCAATAAGTAGAACCCTTGGAGTCTGTAAAAATTCTTGCTACATAAGCATAGAGATCTGAGTTTTGATCCTGGGAGCCTGCATAAAAAGCTAGGCATGTGTCTTAGTTAGGCTTTCATTGCTGTGAACAGACACCATGACCAAGGCAACTCTTAAAAGGAAAACATTTAATTAGGGCTGGCTTACAGTTTTAGAGATTCAGTCCATTTTCATCATGGCGGAAAGCATGGCGGCATGCAGGCAGACTTGGTGCTAGAGGAGCCCAGAGTTCTCTGTCTTGCTCCATGAGCAGCAACAGGGGACTATCTTCTGCAGGCAGCCAGGAGGAGGTTCTGATTCCACACTGGGTAGAGATTGAGCATAGGAGACCTCAAAGGCCACCTAAATAGTAGTGATGAACTTCCTCTAAGAAGACCACACTACTCCAATAAGGCCACACCTTAGTGCCACTCCTTATAGCCAAACACTGAAACACACCAATCTGTGGGAGCCAAACCTAGTCAAACCACCACAGCACGGCAGTACATGCTTGTAATTCTCATGCCAGGGGGGCCAAAACAGCAAGATCCTTAGAGACTGCTGGCCAGCCAGTTTAGCTGGTAAGCTCTAGGTTCAGTGAAAGACCCTGTCTCAAAAATAAGGTGATTCAGAGCACTGTTGCTCTTGCACAGAGAGGACCTGTGTTTGGTTCCCAGCACACACACACATACACATACACATACACATACACACACACACACACACACACACACACACACACACACACAGCAGCTAGCAATTGTTAGTATCTCCAATTCCAGGGAATCCAATAGCCTCTTTTGGCCTCTGCATAGTACCAGGCATGCATGTGGCACACATACCTACACACAGGCAAACACGTTAAAAATTATCTTTAGGAAGTAAGGTGAGAGCCGGGCAGTGGTGGCACACACCTTGAATCCCAGCACTTGGGAGGCAGAGGCAGGCGGATTTCTGAGTTCGAGGCCAGTCTGGTCTACAGAGTGAGTTCCAGGACAGCCAGGGCTACACAGAGAAACCCTGTCTCGAAAAACAAAAAAAAGAAAGAAAGAAAGAAAAAAAGAAGTAAGGTAAAGAATCTGTTGAGGAAGACATTAAGTGTTGGCTACCTCTAGCCTACATATGCACGTACAACCACATATATGTGCACACATGTGAGCACATGCACATAATACACACATACTTAATCAGTAAAATAAGATGAATAAACATAAAACATAGCCAGGTGTGGTCCTTCATTTGAGCAGTGGAAAACTGAGGTTGGAAGATTATCACAGGTTCAAGGCCAAACTGGTCTACATAGGGAGTTGCAAGTCAGCCAGGAATCTCTCTATCTCTGTCTCTGTCTCTGTCTCTGTCTCTATCTCTATCAATATGTTAAGACTCCATTTCAAATATTCATATAAAAATTAACAAATCATACTATTTTTGTATTTGGGTGAAATTCAGATAACATAAAATCACCTCACCCTTTTTGAGACAGGGTCTCATGTAGCCTAGGCTGGCCCTGAACTCACTATGTAGCTGAGGATGGGTCTTGAACTTCTGATCTTCTTGCTCCCACCTCCCATACATCGAGATTGCATGGTGTGACACCACGCTGGATTTATCTAGTGTTGGTGACTGGATCCAGGGCTTCATGCATGTTGGACAGGCACTTGACTGATTGAGCTCCATCCTCATTCCAAATCAACCACTTTAAAATGAACAACCCAGGAGTGTTCCATTCTCCATAGGCTTGTTTCACCAGCTACCACCTCTATCTTCAATAAGCTTTCATCAGTCCAGAGGAAGCCTCAGATCTGTGAAGCAGCTGCCCTACGTTTGAACACTGAGTAAGTTGCACAGGGTGTGGCCTTCGGGATCGTACTTCTTCCTAGCTCTTGTCTCTGACATGCCGTGTGTACGGCTTGTGCCAGTATCAGTTCTCTAGATGAGAAAACTATGGTACACAGTTAAGTAACCTACCCATGCTTGTACAGCCAGTAAGTAGCCGAACCACAATTCCACATGGTGTGGCCCTGGGGCCTTGTTCTAGAAGTGTGAGCCATGTAGCAGGGGAGGAAACAACTCTAGAGGGTGAGGAGACAAGTGGAAGAGGGTTGTGGGGTTGCTCGCATTCCCAGACTGAAAGCCCAAACTCCTGGCCAGCTTGACTGCTCTTTGCTCTATGACCAGCCGCTCTTTCTGCATCTCAGTTTCCCTGTCCACACAGAGTTTAGAGCCTACCTGGAAGAGCTGTGTGAGGCTTGACTGACAGTTCTCTGAAACCTCAGAGTTCTCTATGAGCACAACCATGGTGAGGTTCTCTAAGAACTTGACTGGTACCTAATACATGGCTGAGAGAGCTGGCACTCCATTGGGTGGACGGTGGGAACTTTGATCTTCTTGCTCAGCCTGGAGAGCTGTATGTCCCACCCGGAGGGCAGCGTGTCAAGCACAGACTTGAAGGAACAAGGCCTTCTTTAGAATCTGTCCCGGGCCTGCTACCCTACAGCATACATGTTGGGGAAAGCCTACAGCTCATAGCCTGGGGACAGAGCCTTGCCTGGGACAGGCCACATCAGAAACCCACTGTCCCAGGCAAGGAGGAATAGAAGGTCAAGGGTCCAGAGATGAAAGCACTCTGTCAGAATGGGCTCCCAATATCTCCCCATCAGAACTCTAGCAAAAAGCTATTAATTCCTGTCTAGGAAGTCGATCTTACAGCGTTTCTTCTGGGATCAGATGAGATGTGAAGTCATAGGATGAATTGCCAGAGAACAGCATGGTGACTGTCACCCCTAGTGAGCCCGGGGTTTGAGGAGGGACAGGTGTGAATAGTTTTGTGCACTAAGGGAAAATCGAATGCGGGGTGTGGTATCCTCACAGCAGTTCATCTCTGCTCTTCCCTCTGGTGTAGAACATTTTCCGCTTCAGTCTTGTTTAAATCCCAACATTTCCCTTTCCAAATGATGAAGAATGTTCCAGAATGCTCCGTTAGCCCATGGGTGATTTATCAGGGCAGTTTCCTGGATTATGGCCTCATCTTCTCTCAGCAAATCCTGTTGAAACACACTTCTGTCAGCTGTAAACCCTGAATGTGGGAAAAGAGCTGACACACAGGCTCCATCTCCTGAGTAGCGCATTCCTGAGTATGGGCAGTTCACCAAGATCGGGAAGCCTCCGGCTCGAGAAGAGGTCACCCTGTGGGCAGGGGCAGCCCTTTGTTGATTGGGACATGAAGGAGACAGGATTGCCTCAGAAATCCCAGCCTATTCTGCCTGGGTTACAGATTCTCTTGCCAGCCCTAGGGGACCAACCTCCCTCTCCTATCCATTGACCAGTAACGACAGGCTGCACGTCTCTGGGACATTCCGGAACAGGACACAGCTGAGGTTTGACCCAGGCTGCATGGGTCTGTGGACACTGGTGAACCGTGAACCGCCTGCCCTGGAGTGACCATCCTGTCCCCAGGCTCTGTAGAAACAGCCCGAGGCTCTCAGCTCCAGCCTTCTTCCTGCTTACTGAGACCTTGACCTCTTGCGGTGCCTCTGTGGAGTTGGAGGGCAGCTAGGAAATGAGTTAAGCCAGCATTTCCCACTCCAAGGCTGAGCCCACCCTTTTATATCCAGCCTTCCCAGAGCAGCAAGGGCTATTTTTTTTCTTTCTCCCTCATCTTTGTAGCATTTCCTGGTTTTCCCAAGCAGAATGAGTCACTTCCTTCTCTGGGTTCCCATAATACTCAAAAGGTAACTTCTCTCTACGAGTGGATTTTATTTTATGAGCACTGATTTTTTTTCTTTTCTTTTCTCACTCTTATGGACATGGAAGATGTGCATATTTCTTTTCCTCTTTTTGTTTTGGTTTCTGGGAAGCTTGGAGTCCAGTATACAGTTCCTCTTGATCAAGTGGCTGCTTTTTAAATTAACTTTTAAATTAACTTTGACTCTGTTTATGGTATTTGTGTTTATCAACTTGAGTCACTTCAAATTCATTATTTTTAATTAATTAATATGTTTTAATTGAAGGCTTTACTTTCATTTTATTTGTGTGTGTGTGTGTGTATGTGTGTAAGTGTGTGTATGAATGTGTGTGTGTGTGTATGTGTGTGTATGTATGTGTGGTATGTATCTATGTGTCTGTCTGTATGTGTGTGTATGTGTGAGTGTATATGTGTGTGTGTATGTGTGCATGTGTGTGTATATGTGTGTGTGTATGTGTGTATGTATGTGTGTATGTATGTGTATGTATGTGTGTGTATGTATGTGTGTGTATGTGTGTGTGTATGTGTCTGTATGTACGTGTGTGTATGTATAAGTGTATATGTGTGTGTATATGTGTGTATGTGTGTGAATGTATGTGTGTGTATGTATGTATGTGTGTATGTG